CTGACCATCGGATCACCAAACTCCCCTCTAGCTTAACCTGTATAGTCTGTGCTTGGAATCAAATTTCTGTGTCACAAATAAGGCACTTGAGCTGAATGCTACCGGTCTGTAGTTTTGTCTCATGTGAAAATGGCTTTCAATGACGGGAATATAAGTTCGTCGTCATGACAATTTCTAAGCGTAGAACATTGGTGTGAGCGCAATTTTGTGCAAGGGAGGACGGGATATGGCATAGCTCCTTTGCTTTGTTGTTGAGTTGCTTCTGTTGCTCGTTCATTCAATCAATACTGGCCTCTGACTGGTGTTGAATTGGTTGTTTGTTTTGGTTGATCACCAAACCTTCCATCCAGCCCACTGAGGTGCCTTGGTGACCACTAAAGCCAGTATTTGGTCAGAATATACATCTATCATACGATGGGATTTTGAAATACTGGAATGACCCAGGAAACAGCCCACTCTGTGAAGTTAGGAAGGCCAAGATACAAAATGATCTTAAGATTAAGTAATAATTGAGTAATTTAACTAGCAATTTTTGTTGCAATTGCTCGAGTAACCATATTTTCAACGCCAACAGTCCCGATCTACGTGCATTATCTGAATGCATACGTTCATTTGACAAGTATTATAATGTTCATTTGCCTTCAAGGAAGTCTCACGACAGTGAAATCATATTTGGCTTTATCTACAGAAAAGCACCGAGAAGCTACATTAGAATTTTCTCAGAGACAGAGGAATCAGGTTTATCCCTTAAAATTAAGCTTATGAATGAAGAGCCGAACATGCGTGCAGCATAAGCAAATGCATATCAATTCTACTAGGGGCACGGTATTCATTTTGCCGTCTGCACCTTCCTTTGGCTGAGAGGTTGGAGCCTTCTTCTTAGGCCTGAGGTATCTGTATCGAGAATCAGATCTCTCCGCCGGCTACTAAACTATATTCTGCAGAGGGAAAGGAAATATCGTTAATAGACGAAGCCTATATCAAAGTCTCGATCAGGAAGGAAAGTTGGAAGGCGAATTCATACTATGTCAAGAACTTTCCGGGGGCGTAATATTGAAGGCCAACATCTTACGCCATTCCCTAGCGAATGTGAGCTTTGATCATGCATGTTCATGACACATCTATCGTCTAAGAAGAAAACTCCGCCCCCTCAGCCGAAAGAAAGCACAGAAATTATATGCAAGTCCTTCTTTGCTTCCCTGGCCACTTCAGAAAGAGATCAGACTCTTCTCAATTTTAGTAAAGGGCAACTTAAACGCATTAGTGTATACATTACATGCATGACTGGCAAAATCATAGTCCCAAAACGGTCATAATGTTCTTGCAAAAACACTAGATTCGCTACAGTTCGCCAATCACATAACCTCCGCTATATTTTTGCACCTTATCTCATCTAAAAGGAAGTCGTGTCTTGCTAAGAAATCGTCGGTTTCTAACAAGGTGAAAGATAGTATTCGTTTATTATTGTAAAGATAAACACTTTGTATTTTGTTAAAAGATAATTACGTTTTAAGGCCACTCTGTATTTTACGTGAATGACGTGATTTTAATGACAGTTGCTAATTGTTAAAGTAGTTTGAAGGAGAAACAATTCAAGTAGTTTAAGTAAGCCTGATCGGGGAGCGGACCTTAGGTCCCTGCACATTTAACATGCTTATCCCTTCTCCGATGAAGTCAATTTCTTCGTTCTGTCTGTTTGCAGAACTCTTTCTTGTTATATTTTTTGTTGATTGCGCCATTCTTTCCGTTGGTATATGCGAAAATCTGAAATTAACCACAGGTTCTTTATATTATCCGAATTTTCAAATCTACCGCTTCTTCACATTCTTTCTTGTCAATACAAATGTGATTTTATTTGTAATAGACGCTGCAGGATTCTTTGCATTTGATTCATTGTTACAACGACGGTGGAATTTTGCAGAAAAGATGAAGTTTTTGATGATAACTACATGGCTCCCGGGCTTCATGTGTCTGATATACTATTACATCAAATTTGCTTGCTCTAGAACGGAGGCAGACCTATTTTTCACAGGTGTCAATGGCTCCAGCTCCTTTGTTGCTGCAGTGACTATTGTTTCTAGGCAGTTGCTCTATGATACCTCCTCGGACGCGAAGGTGCAAACTCTCTATCGTTATGCTTCTTTGTTTTACCTTATTCTAATTGCATTGCTGCAAGGCTTCGGTGCTATTCCCTCTATCACTCTTCTCTATTCGTTCTTTGGTCTTCTCTATGGATGGACATACTTGAGGTTCTTCCAGAATCATACTGATGGCAAGCGGGGTGATTTTCGAGGCAGCTTCTCTTTTGCAAGGCAAGTTGTTGCGAGGTCCTTCTAATGCATTGATAGAATCAAATCGAGTAGGCTAAGCAAGGGGTTTTGTTCTCAAAACTTGGACATTACCAGGCTTCTGTAGACCAATGTTGGCTGTAGGAAGATAATTTGTTCAATCTGCGTATTATGGTTGAAATTCAAAATTCGGTGTAAAGTCTGTATGGTCATGGTTGAAAACAAGTGAATGCTACTATTCCGGAATTGCAACTCATTAATAAGCTGTGGTTCTGTTTTAGTTTATTCCCTCGTTTCTTTCAACCAATCATCGCCATTCCAGTGAACTTCTTTTATGCGATTTTCGTTGCGTTCAAGCTCTGCCCCAAAGTTGAACTACAATATGAGATTCTTTCGGCATCATCTTTTTCAAGGGATGTTCCTACCGTTTCCTACAGTGAAAATGAACGCTATAAGTGAGTCTTGTTATTGATAGCTATTAGCGTTTAGATGTGATTTGTAGATAGTTTTACTGGCTAACATCACCGAAACGCCAAAATACATTTTTTTGGCAACGATTTCCTCTACCTGCTGTTGGTATTGTTGCGTTGATTGAGCTAGATTATCTTCCAGTGGATTGATTGCACTTCAGCATTAAAGAAGGCGTTTTTCGTACTAGCATATGGTTAAGCAGGCTACAAGCAAGCGATTGCCCATGAGTTAGGTGTCCTTGTACTTAACCGCATTTATCTGACTAGTTCTTTTTCCAGCTAGCTACACTCTGAACTACTTGCGGGTTATGGGTCAATTTTCGACAATATTCTTTCGAAATTTGCATTGTACACTCAATTGAGGAAGCACAGCTTGCATGATGATATCGCTGACAGATGTATTTACAAGTCGTTAAATTGATTGAGGTAGTTTTTGTAAATGTAACTGTTAAGTAGGCCTTCTGGAATGGGTAGAAATTCGTTAAGCTCATATGCGTAGACGATACAAAATGAGTCTATGCTTCTCACCCTCAGCGCATTTTGGAAAACTATTTATCAGTCATCATAAGGTTCCTCAAACTGTGCCCTTACTCACTTAATTACCTCATCACTTCCTTGGTTGAAACTAATGTTAATACA